TCAACACAAGCTCAACAATATCAAAACCTCAACCAAGTTTCTTTGCTCCAAGAACAACACCAGGAGCTCAGCCTGGAATTCGAAGTGCTTTTGCTGGAAAAGAGGCAAAGAAAAATGCAGACATGATAGTTGCTAAATGGTTTTATCATGCTAAGCTGCCGTTCAATGCTGCACACTCTGAATTTTACCAAATGGCATTTGATGCAGCAATTGCTATTGGCCCCGGATATAAGGTACCTTCTTATTATCAGCTTAGAGTTCCTTTGTTGAGAGATGTCAAAGAAGAATGCACATTAATCATACATGATTATCGCAAGAGTTGGGAAGTTACTGGATGCACTTTGATGGCTGATGGTTGGACGGATATGAGTCAAAGATCATTGATTAATTTTCTAGTATATTGTCCAAAAGGTGTTTGTTTTCTTAAATCCGTGGATGCATCTGACATGGTTAAGGATGCAAGTACTTTGGCCGACTTGTTTGGTGGTGTGATTGACATGATTGGGCCAAAGAATATTGTGCATTTTGTCACAGATAATGCTCCTAATTATGTTGTTGCGGGAAGAAGAATTCACGAGAAGTATAAGAGCATTTTTTGGTCTCCATGTCTTGCACATGTTCTTAATCTTTTGTTGAAAGATATTTACAAGATGAAACATGTGTCAAACTTGGTTTCACGAGCTCAGAAGATCAGTGTGTTTGTCTATAGTCATCTTCCCATCTTAGCTTTTTTGAAAAAGTTGAGGGTTGGAAACAGATTGTGCGTCCAGGAGCTACTCGATTTGCTACAAGTTTCATATGTATGAAAAGTGTGTATGATCATAGGCCACTTTTGGAACAACTTGTTACAAGTAGCTTCTTTACATCTCACAAGTTGGGAAAGTCTAAAGAGGGGAAGCACATCAAGTCAATTGTGTTGGATAACAATTTATGGCAGGATTGTTTAGTGACTGTGAAGTTGACATTGCTAATCGTGAAGTTGTTGAGGATTGTTGATTCTGATCAACAACCATATTTGGGGTATGTGCATGATGGAATGATGAGGATAAAGAAGACTATCAAGAACACTTTTATGGGAAATGGAAGAGGGGCTGATGTATATATGAATTTAATTGATGCTAGATGGGATAAGCATCTTCGATATAGCATCTATGGAGGTGCATATTATCTGAACCCGGTTTTTCAATATACTCAGGAAGCTCGAGAGGAGCGTGGTTTGCAAACTTGTCTTATTGATCTTCTTGAAACTGAAGGCCTATGTGATAATGTAGAAGAAGCAATGCAAGAGATTAGACTTTTTAGAGATAGGCTTGGAAGCTTTGGGAAGAAATCAGCTATCTCTTGTACTTCCACTTTACCTCCAGGTAATCACTTCTAATTACTTGTTAGTTGTTGCATATTTAGTTCTAAGCTTACAATGTTTTCAAAGTTTATATACTTATTTAGAATAATGTGCCTGAATGAAAAGCTGAATGGTGGACACTATTTGGAGACGATGCTGCACATTTGAGGAAGCTAGCTATTCGACTTTTGTCTCAAACATCATCTTCTTCTGGATGTGAGTGGAACTGGAGTGTGTTTGACCATATTCATAGTAAGCGGAGGAATCGATTGGAGCATCAAAGATTGAATGATCTTGTTTATGTGACTTACAATTTGAGGTTGAAGAATAGGTAATGATTAAATTGTATACAACATTGTAAAGTTATTAACACTTCATATTCATATACTTAATTATTTAATCTTCTTTGACTTGTAGGTGCTTGAAGAAGGAGTGGGCGAAAGACCCAATTGATTATGAACAATTAGATAACATTGATTTTTGGATTGTAGAAGAAGATCCACCTGCAGATATAGACTATGAAGAGCTTGAAAAGACTCTTTATGAGGAGGAGGAGGAGGAGGAGGAGGAGGAGGAGCAAGGATCATCATCTTCTAACAAGCGTCCTCGTGTTGAAGGTTTGCATATTATAGCAACTATAGAATAGTCTATACATTTTTATAATAACTATCTTCTAATTGGTAATAATTATGAATATTTGATTTCACGTTTTGATGCAGAGGACTTTGAGTATGATGTGACTGATGAAATTGACTTCGACATTTCTCATCTTGTTGATGCAATGGAGATGGAGATGGATAGCTTTATCTTTGAAGATTGAGTACTTTTCTTTTGTTATTTGGAATTCTAAGTTGATGCTATGTGATGAATTTAAGAGTGTTGGATTTAAGGGTTCTTGAATTTTTAACTATGATGGATTTAAGTTGATGTTATGTGAATGATTTAAGTGTTGTTGAATTTTTACTATGTTGAATTTAAGTTGATGTTATTTAAGTGTGTTGTAGTTGAAGTAGTGTTGCATTTTTTTTTATGTTGGATTCAGGATAAATAGAATATATTGGCTCTTTTCATATTTCCGGGCTAAAACGGGTGACCCATGACCCACTAGCTCGTCCGGGTCCGGGTCGACCTGCGGTTTGACAACCTTGCCCGGAGCACAGGACCTCCTCAGGAATCTTCTAGAACACCTTGTCGGATCTGGTTGACGACCACATCAGAGTCATCTTCCACTTTTACGTGAGTCAAGGATCTTGAAACGACGATGGTGATAGCATATCTTACTTATAGGAGCTCTGCCAGGTAGGGGTTGACTACTCACTAGTAACGCATACTGGCTGCCGGCTGTCAGCACCACATGCCTGTCTGACCTGCTGATAACAAGACCAGACAATCACCATGTTTTAGTTACACGAAATGTAGTTAAGCCCAACCCACGAATAGAGAAGTAAGTCTCATAAAATCGTATATATACTTAGTCTTCCGAAACATGCATCTCTCGTATTTGTGAGATAATTTATTTCTCGTTGTGATTCATCTCGTTATTAAAAATTATTATATAATAATTAGAGGATTTAAATTGTTTAGAATTCTGCTTGGCTGATCGACATAGACATTATCAACAAAAATCATTCTTTTTAGGTTTTAATATCACTGGAAATAAGAGAAATGTTCAAAATTTACAAATTCGTTAAGTGTTACAGATTGATTAAGTAGGGATGATGAGCAGGTGGTCAAATAATTAATGATGTTGTTCATACCAAAGACCAAATCAAATCAGGTTGGTGGTTGGTCACATGGAGTTGGAATAATCAATTCCTTGGGTTTAGTAACATTATTGACTTTGCATTTTGTTAGTGTTTGTTGGGATCTTGCAAAGCCTTGGTTACTTCAATTTTGTTTTTCCAAAAGTTTAATAAGTTGGGTGCTTGACTACTTGTTGGTACAAGTTAGGAGGTCCGTGTTATGAATTCACTACAAAAGTCCTTAAATTCAAGATTGTCAAATGGTGTGGGTCGTTTGGAAGTTGCGATTGTTTTGTTGAGATTGTCATTATGTATGTATTGTTTACAATGCATCATTTTTTTGTTTTTTTAGCAGAAACAATCCATGATTGTTTCTGTGATGTGACAGAAACTATCACTCATTTTGAGTGATTGTTATATCTCAACTTTTAGTTGTGATTGTTGACATAGTTGAGTTGAGATTGTTTTGTCTCAGCTTTTAACTGATGCGACATACACAATCACACATACCAAACATTGTATTCTACAATGCATCAAATTCGACAATACATGTGTAATATTATACATGCATTCTCAACAATACATCTATTTAACAATTGCAACTTCCAAACGACCTTATTAAGATATACCAAAGTAGATGAGTACAAAATATTCATCCTATCCTATGCAAGAACTCTCAAGTGACGACACCTTAAAAATGACTCCACCCATCTCGCTAATCTATGATTTTTCGTGAACTTTGTTCTTTACTGTCATAAGACCTGTTCTAAATCAGGCTTCATGCCACAAATTGACTTGAGGTTTCATTTTCATCGACTCTCTGACCTTGCACATCTCACACTTGTCTCGAGGATCACTCAGTAGAGTTTGGATTGATCTTTGAAGCTCAAAATCCTATATTTTGTTAGGTTCTAAGTTGGCTGAAACGTCTTTGCTTATGAAGGGCATTGTCCCTACCTTTTCCCATTATTTGAAAAAAGGTTTGGGCTGTTATGATCATGAATGGCAATGAGGCAGATCTATAATGACTAGGGATGGCAAATTACCCACCCATGGGAGAAGGGAGCAATGGTGAAGCGCCATTAGGGATGGCAATTACTCACCCATGGGTATTATACTCAAACACAAGTAGACCCATTGATAATGGGTTGGGTATGGGTGAAGTGCATATGGGTTTGGGGGGGTTTGTAGATGGGTTTGGGTAAGGTATGAATACTGCTTCCATTATCTAAATGGGTATGTGTTGGATATGGATATCCATTTACTTGAGGGTGTTTTAACTACACATGCAAAAATTGGACCTATTTGTAAAACTTGAAAAGTTTAGGTACCAAAATGTAAGACCAAAAAAATTTAGGTACCAAAACGTAATTTTCCATCGATATTTTGGGGACTTATATGCAAAAAAATAAATTTAGGTACTAAATATGCATATCTATTAAGTTTGGGTACCAAACTGTAATTTGTATTTGGGCATGGGTACAAACCCAAATCCATTTGATATAAACCCAACTCAACCCAAAGTAAATGGGTATGGGTACAAACCCATCAAACTCTACTCATATCCATCTATTTGGATTTCATACCCAACCCAATTGGGTTGGATAGTAAGAAACCCATGGGTATGGGCAAAGTTGCCATCCCTAATAATGACTACCTTAGCTCCCATGTCAGTATTATGTCAAATGAAATATTAACTCTACTTGAGACACGGATCAATACATATAAACTTTCTTTAACATACGTTCAAACGAATCAAAGCTACAATTCAACAACCATACCAGAAACTGAAGGAGATTCACTCTCTAGGCGAACCAAGGATGTTCGAAAGACATATGTCCATGCTTAGAAAAGATTAAAGTAAGAGAAATGATCGTAGGAAGACTATAGATAAAAAGTCGAAAAATAAAGCGAGTCGTAATACAAACGAAAGACCAATAATCCTGCTACATGTTATCTTTGCAAAAAATAATACAAAATTGAGACACGAATCAAGTCGAGAGCTCGAGATCATCAATATTAATGGCTTGTTATGGACTTGAAATGGTTCCCTCATCAGTCATCACCATCTTCTTCTGCCACCACCTTTTTAATTTCGTTATGGGTCCTCCTTCCCCTTTTCTCTTGCTTTCTATCTTTGAATTATTTCCTTCCCAACCCATCACTCCATCAGCTAATCAAAACTTTTGGACCAGACATTATTATTAGGGTTAATACCTTAGTTTGGCCCGAAGTTTGGCATTAGTGACAGTTCTGGCCTTATTTTTCAAATAAGACATTTATGGCCTACTTTTGAAACTATTGGACTAATTTGGCCCAAAATTTTCTTTGACCGTTAATATTAACGGTCAAACACTATTCCGTTAGTGACTCAACACAAAATCGCTGATGTGGCATGCCACGTCATTAAATAATAATATTTTAATTTTATAATTCGATTAAAATAAAAACTAAGAAATTCCAATTCCAAACCTCCAAACCCTAAACTGAATTAAACATCCTCATGGAAGCCCATTTTAAATTTGTCTCCTTCACCTTCAGATCGGAAACCCATTTTCTTCCGAACTATATTAAGAATTTGTCTCGTTCACCTTCAGATCGGAATCAAACATCCTCGTGGAAGCCCATTTTCAAAAATGACGACTCAAACGCTCACCGAACTGCTAAGCGCGTCGCCCATGTGTTCCCCGACCGCCACGCCCCATCCCATTTGTTTCCGGCAAACTCGATCTCACCCACCTCTCGCCTAGCCGCGGTCGGCATCGTGGTCGCGCTCACTTTCCCCAACACCGTGATTCGAGTCAGAGCAACAGCGGCGCCGCTCAACGCCGCCTGCACGGCGAAGGAATTCGAGTTCTACCTATCGGACTCGGAATCCAAGCGATTGCTCACTTTGTGCGAGGGAAACACGGCGGCCGAATCCGCCGCTTCGAAGCTCCAAGTTCGCCACGCCACTGCAGCTCTCTCCGCAGAAGATTCTAAGCTCGCGCTCTCTCTCTTCCTCCTCCGTCTGCGTCAAGAGCCAGCTCGCCGGACCGAAGTAGCAGGAGGGAGGCGCCTCCTATTGACGATGATGTTTGATTCAGTTTAGGGTTTGGATTTGGGGCCAAGGGATTTTGGGATAATAACAGGGGAATTGGAATTTCTTAATTTTTATTTTAAATTAAAATAATATTATTTAATGATGTGGCATGCCACATCAGCGATTTTTTGCTGAGTCACTAACGGAATAGTGTTTAATCGTTAATATTAACGGTCAAAAAATTTTTTGGGCCAAATTCGTCCAATAGTTTCAAAATTAGGCCATGAATGTCTTATTTGAAAAATGGGGCCAGAACTGTCACTTACCCCAAACTTCGGGCCAAACTAGGGTATTAACCCTTATTATTAACTTATTTATGCTCCCCGGAAAGCACTGTTCTTCATTAATGATACACTTTCCACCTAGCCAATCGTAGTGCTAGATTCTTCGCATTAGAGGCTGCGTTTTTTCCACGACCTCCGTGTGGCGAGTGGGACGTGAGCATTGAGGAGCCAGAGAAGGTTTCTTTTGCTTGCCTTTTGCAATCAAAGGAGGCGCATGATAGAGATCGCGACTCATCCATCCATCCGGCGCCTTCTTTTTTCCCATTCAACCCTTCCAAGCAACAATTCCACCCACCGGCCACCGCCCACTCAAAGTAAATGCGAGTAAGAGATATTTCAATTTGTAATCCACTCACATCAATTATCCACACATAACGGCTCGAGTTATTTACGGGTGAATCGATATCAAACTGTATATCATGTATCCACCCCTAGTTTTGATAATGAACCCGAGATCGTATCGTCCCCTTAATTTTTAACAATGGCAATTGGCAAGCGTGCCCACTTTACAAATCTGCATTAATTGTGGTAAAATTGTTGGGATAAAAAAAAGTCATCAAAATAACAAGATTCTATTGGGTGCAGCTAATGTTAGCACGATGCTTACAAATTGGGTGTTATGTTAGCACCCTAACATGAGTAACCTCTATGATTAATTTGAAGGAGCAACTCTTTCATTTAGGGGTGTTCAAACGGTTTGGTTACCATGGTAAATATTTTAACCGGTACGATTTGGATAATTTGGTTTGGTTAATTTGGATAATTGGTTTGGTTTGGTTAAAGTTTTTAGCTTGTTTGGTTTAGGTGGTTTGATTTGGTTTCAGACACTCCTAACCAGTCAAACCAAATTAACCAGTTAAGTAATTAGTCATATATCTAACATATATTACATACACATACTTAATACTTTGCATAACCACTCAAGAGTTAACGTTCATCCCTTTTAAACTCATAAAATATAAAGCTCAATATTGCTCATATAGTGTATATTTGTATATGTAAAATGTAGACCACAACATATGGACGCCTAATTTAGATAAATTTCATACATTGTGATGGATGAAAACTTGAAAGGAAGGTTATTTCCAGCCTATGATAATTGCTACGAGAGTAAGTCAATTTACACAAACACAACAATTCATTAACCCATACCATTGTCATAAATTTTTGTTAGGTGAATACTTCTATACTAATCGTAAGATAATTGTCTTAGTTGCATGTATTTTTGTTAAGGGTCAACTATAACTACGTGTTGATTGTTATTTTTTATTCATTATATAAATTGCGAATTGTTGCATCAACCGGAAAATGTTCATCGTCAATAATAATGTGATTTTATATTGGTTAATATGGTTAACCAATTAACCAAACCGATTAAACTTTAGTTTGGTTAATTTGGTTGTTGTATTAGTTTGGACGGTTTGTATATGATATTGTATTCCATGGTTAATAGAATTTAGTCTTATTTGGTTTGGTTATAACCATGGTAACCATTTGAACACCCCTACTTTCTTTTGCCCCCTTTTTTTTATAATGATGATTTAAATGCATAAATAAGAACAAAGGAAGAACAAACAAACAGTCTGGGGAGCGGAGGTTCGCAAGGCGCAGAACCAAAACCGCCGACCAAGCAAAACAAATACAGAGCTGAGACAAACAGAAAAGAACAGGAAAAGGGAAGGAAAGGAAGGGCCTGGAGGCCGAAAGACAAACAAGAAGGCCACCCAGCAAGCTAAATGGACCGAACCATTCCTGCTAGCCCACCAACACCATCAAGCGCCCACCCAAACAACAGCCGATCAAAAACAACGCAAATCCAGCAAACCCAGCAAAAACAGCAGAAGCCAAAATCCAAAGAGACCGCTCAAAAGACCACCAAAAACGAGCCTCTGCAGGCTGAGACTCGTGCAAACTAGGCATTCGAATCAAGCCACTGCAGGCCTTGATCCTTGTCCACCTTGCCAAAAGCAATGGCCCAATCAACCGCGTCTCTAAGCACTTTCCGAGTGACAGCTCTAGTGTGCAGACTAATGTCCTGGAAAATTCTTCTATTCCTCTCAAGCCAAACCTGCCAGCACGCCGCATGGAATACCCCAAAAAGGAACCAGCTCTCCGCACTACCTGCGGACCAAGTAGACCATCTTCTAATGGTAGCTAGAATGTCGTTAGAAGGGGTCTCGATAGATCCGCAAGCCATCTTCAGTCTTCTCCACACCTCCTTAGTGAAAAGACACAAGGAGAAGATGTGGCTGATATCCTCCTCATCCCGGCCGCAAAGCTCGCACCTGTTAGCAAGATGCCAACCTCTTGCCTTAAGATTATCCAAAGTGAGAATCCGTCTGTGCGCCAACAACCATACAAAGAAGCAAATCTTTGTAGGGATGGAGCACCGCCAAACGGACTCAAACGGAAAATAGGCAACACCCGTGAGCTCCTCGTCAGTCAAGAACCTGTACATGGAACGAACAGAAAAGGAACCTTCCGGACAGGGAAGCCAAACCGGCCTAGGAGGCCCGTTAGTCACACGACTGGAGCCCAAAGAATTAAGGAGATCCATAAGAACAACCCTTTCCCTCTCCGCCCCCCCCCCCCTCTAAGATTATTAAGAAAAGGAACAGACCAACAGCGACTCTCACCTGTGAGGGATATGGCATCGGAGACCCTGGCGTTCGGGAAGCAAGAGGCGGCAGCAACCCTTGGGAAAGCATCTGCGAGCACAACACCTGGGATCCAGCAATCATGACAAAGGGAGACCCAATCGCCATTACCGGGTTCAATACTAGACATTATCCAAAAATTATCATACTCCTTTGAAATATTCGCCCACACCGAACCAGAAAAACCTTGCCTGCATCGCGCAGTGCCCCACTCAGAGAGATGGTTCAAATATTTGCAGGAAACCAAACCCCTCCACCAACTCTCCCTTTCCGTAGCGAAGCGCCACAGCCACTTCCCCAACAATGCTCTATTAAATGCCGCCAAGTCCATAATTCCAAGGCCACCCCGATAAAAAGGGGCTTTGCAGGTATCCCAACTCACCAAAGGCATTTTCTGTCTGTCGCCCGATCCACTCCACAAAAACCTTCTTTGGGTACCTTCCAGACTTTTGATAACCGAAGAGGGAGCACGGAAAAGGGAGAAGTAGTAAACAGCCTGGTTCAAGAGCACCGCCTTAATCATGGTCAATCTGCCTCCGAGAGAGAGGTACCTGCCTTTCCATCCTTCGAGCCTCTTCCTGTATTTGTCAATAATAGGATCCCACAGTGATACTGCGTTAGGCTTTGCCCCTAAAGGAAAGCCCAAATACCTGGAAACCTCATTACTCCAGTTACACCCAAAGATAGAGGCAAAAAAACCAGGATCCGGAACATCCCCAACAGTGAACATAACAGATTTATCCAGATTAATCCTAAGCCCCGTGACCGCCTAGAAGCAGACAAGAGTAGCAAGGATGTTAACAACCTGCTCATACTCTGCATCACAGAAAATTAAAGTATCGTCAGCAAACAGCAGATGACTGACCTCCCCCCCACCGCTCTCCTCGTTCATGCAAGACCCATGGATTTTCCCATTTACCCTAAGCTTCGAGATCATAAAAGAGAGCACATCCATAATCAAAGTAAAGAGCCCCGGTGACAAAGGGTCTCCTTGCCTCAAACCCTTCTGAGTATAGAAAAAACCTTTTGATTCCCCATTCACAAGGACAGAGATTTGTGGGCGGCACATGGTACCCTTAATCCACTTATGCCACTAATCAGAGAAACCCAAGTGAGAGAGGATTTGAAATAAGCAATTCCAGTTCACATTATCAAACGCCTTTTCCATGTCCAACTTGAACCTCAGACCTGGTTTCTTGCTTTTCTTTCTGCTGTCAAATAATTCAAAGGTGATTAAACCGGCATCACCGATATGCCTACCCAGAACAGATGCGTGCTGAAACTTGGAAACAATCCGAGGAAGGACGCCACCCAACCTGCGAGAGAGAACTTTACTCACCAGCTTATTAAAGCTCCCCATCAGGCTAATAGGCCGCAAATCCTTTATATCTTCCACCGAATCTTTCTTAGGAACTAGACAGATGAACGAATGAGTGATGCTATTAGGCAGATACCCAAAATTAAAGAACTCCCCAAAAGCATTCATCACATCAGCCTTAATCCAGCCCCAACACTTTTTGTAGAACTCCCAAGTGAACCCATCAAGTCCAAGAGCCTTGCCACCATCGCACTCAGCAATACTTTCCCAAATCTCCAACTCCGAGAAAGGCCTACTAAGCAAACGGATATCAGCCTCGTTGAGCTTGTTGCAGACGTAGAAACCGGGGAAAGGACGAGATTTAATATCCTCTCGAAACAAACCAACATAGAAGTTCACAATCCCATTGGCAATTTCATCCCTTCCTTCAGTAAGAATCCCATTGATTCTAATACATCCAATGCGATTCACCTTTCTCCTGTAATTCGCCATCCGATGAAAAAAACCTGAGTTCCTATCTCCTTTTTGCAGCCACAGTTCCTTAGACTTATGCCGCCACGAAATCTCCAGGAGATCAAGAACCTTTCCAATCTCAACGAGCAAGCACTCCCTCTTATTAGACTCCTCAATCATCAAGCACCGCGACTCTTCCAGCTGGTTAATGTCGTGTACTGCAATAGTAAGCTCCTCAATCTTCTTGTTCAAGTCCCCAAAAACCTCCATGTTCCAGACCTTAATCTTGCTTTTAAGAACCTGTAATCTCCTAGACCACCGAAAAACCCATCCATGACCCTGAATCTGCTCCGCAAGCCAAGTATTTAGATCAGTGAAAAACCTGCCATCCTCCAATCACATATTCTCGAACCTCCAAGGCCTGTGCACTCTGACACTGTCACCCCTTAACATCAGCGGATTGTGATCCGAAATAATACGCTCAAGTGCAAAGAGAGAGAGCAATCCGGGAACAACTCATCGAAACTAACAGAAACAAAAGCACGATCAATCCGAGAAAGGCAGTTACTGTCTCCTCCTTTGCACCAAGTGAAATTACTCCCCCCAAGAGGAAGCTCCAAGAAGCCGCATTCATCAATCACATCGTTAAATTCACCCATAAGGTTATTGTTGCGTCTTGCACCCCTATAATCATCGTGACTTCGCACCAAATTAAAATCACCCACAATGCATATAGGATCCTGACAATTCTGTTCGAGAGCACGAAGATCACTGATAAAGTCAAGTTTATCCTCCCTCTCCTGCGGCCCATACACTACAACCAGATGCCGAGTCTTATGTGTCTCAATTTCTTGGAACTTGACCTGTAGGAAAAACCTGCCCACAGAGCTTGCATCGCGTTGACAAATAATTTATCCCAGAAGACAGCTATCCCACCAGAGCTGCCATCCACATCTTTGGTCGTCCACCCTGCATTCGAAACCCCGCCAACACTGCGGATCAAAGACTCATCACAGTTTCTCCATTTTGTTTCCACCAATCCCACAATTTTGGGTCTCCTGCCGCTAACAAATCGCTTAACTCTGGCTCTCTTGTCCCTGTCGCCAAGCCCCCTCACATTCCAAACTAAGACTGACATTTTGGGATTGTTTGGTTGATGGATTTGAATCTATCATGGATTTTTTTCAAATTCCACAATTGCTTCATGTATTTAGGAACAACAAATGTGTGGGGCCATAAAAAGGTATTGGTTGAGAGCTCTTATGACCTATAGAAGTACCCAGAAATGCGTGCTCGTAGAGTGCTTTCTTAGGGATGGGTAAACCCCCTACCTTCCTAAGGACCCAATATAGAATAGATTCTGTCTTCTCTCTATGGATTGCTCACCTATAAAAGAAGATCTATGATCTTACCAGTAGGGATATCTAAATTCAGCTAGGTACGCTTGCTGACAGCGATTATGGTTATGACGATGAGTGTCTCAAACTACTTCATTCCTCTCACAATATATTCCAACCGAAAATTCTCGAGCGAACGTTTTGCCCGAAGGAAGAACGATGTTGCTCGACTGAAAGGAGAGGAACGAATATACTCGAACAAATACCTTCAAGAGTCCAAATCCGTGGACCTTGCGGACTTGAAAATTGCACTATTTTTAAGTAGGAATTGGTCGTGAACTTGAAGTCCATAATTTTTTACCAACACATCCATCATATTTCATTTCTCCTTCTCATACCAATGAAAGCAATAAGGTCAATTTCACTTCGTACGTATATACCAATCTAATTAACAAAAGTCATCATGAAGTCCATGAAATAAACAATTGTGTTTCTCAAGTATTCTCATATATCCATAATTTTCCAAAACCCATATTTGATCAAAATCTTCATTTTTCACATCTACGCGAAGAAAACCAAACGGTACTTGAGTTGACTGCTCATATTGATGGACTTGCTTCAAATTCACATTTATTTTGTTTTTGCTCCCTCTTTGACTTTGATCTCTCCATCGGTGCCCGACCCGAGTAAGTAAGAAGCAAATCTCTCACGAACAGAAAAGTGAGAGATTTGCTTCTTACTTAAGAAAAGCACCGATGCTAGGGTTCGGAATCGCTGGAGTAGAGCAGTTACATTCAGAATTTTGGGGAAGAGTCTCCCGTTTGCCTTCATCCACAGGCGTGTTCACAAGATGTGGGCAAAAACTGGATCGGTGGAGATTGGCGATATTGGTAATGGCTATTACCAAGCCATCTTTGGCTCCCAGTTGGACTACAATCGAGCCTTGTATGGAGGGCCATGGACAGTGGATGAGCAGTACATCAACTCGGAGCCGTGGAGGCTCGACTTTGATCCGGATTATGATGTAATCAACAACACAATGGTCTGGGTTCGCCTGCCCAGGCTCCCTATGGCTTATTTCGATGAAGAGATTCTGACAAATATTGGCAGTCGCCTTGGAAGAGTGGTTAAGATCGATTATAACACGCTGAATGGTTTTAGGGGGAACTACGCAAGAATATGTGTTGAAATTGATCTTAGGAAAAGGTTGGTACCGAAATACAGATTGAAGCGAAGAGTCAGGAGGGTAGAGTATGAAGGCTTAGATACTGTGTGCTATGAATGTGGTCATTATGGACATCTTGAAGGCAAGTGCCCCCGTGCGGAGGAGAATACAACACCGGAGCAAAAGACACTAGAGGAACCCCTGCAAAGCAGACAAGAGATTCGCCCTGAAGTTGTAGAAGACTTCGGGCCATGGATGATTGCAACACGGACGAAAAGGAAGAAGAATAAGCAAGGGGGTGCAGCTGCAAAGGTTGAGCAGAGTACGGTGGAGCTAAAAAAAGCTGAACCTCGTGAAGGATCGAGGTTCATTGTGTTGGAGGAGGAAGTGCAAGAGGGTGATAAAAATGAAAGTACAGAGATTGAAAGTGGTCAGAACGAGAAAGTTGGACAGGAGAAGAGTTCTCAGAATGAGAGGAAAGATCAGACAGAGGAAATAAGGAAACTCCCAAGAATGCAAAGCAGGGCAATGAGAATGCCCAGAAGCAGGGTAAGAAGACAAAGACCCAACAAGCTAAGGAAGCAGGAAGGAAGGACAATCAAAAAGCCTCCCCTCTTGTGTCTTCCTCAGGGGTGAAATCCCACTCCAAGAATGCTGGAAGCTCTAAACAGGGCACTAGGACTTCTGGGATGGGGAAATCGGTTGCGAAAGAGGACAAGTCTAAATCATCAACTAAGCTTCCGGTTAACTCATCTCAGAAAACCCCAGAAGCTAAGCTTCCGGCAAGCTCATCGCAGATTACCCCAGAAGCTAGACGAACAGGAAAGGGGAAGAGTCAGTTGGCAGAGGCTTCGGCTGGCCATCAACCGAAGATGAAGGAACCCTCCTCATTATCCACAGGTGATCCCCAGAAGACCTCCTGTCCATCCCTAGATAGTGGGATCCTGACGCGTAAGCTGGAGTTTGATGAATGCTCAGCTAATGCTAGGTTGCCTGAGAGTGCAAACCCGAGTCCGAGGGGAGGAGGGGCTAATGAAAAAGGTACGGCAGTGACGGCGATGGCCGTCGACTCTGTTTGAATTCTTACCCGTTTGGGGGGACTGGGAAATCCACTTTATCATAAATGATTAAAGTCTTTTCCTGGAACTGTCGCGGTGCGAAGCACCCGAATTTTCACTCTACTATGGAGTTTTACCTGAGAATGTACATGCCTGATGTTGTCTGTATCCTGGAACCTAGAATCAGTGGCGATGATGCTATTAAGGTGATCAAATCCCTGGGGTTTGATGCATGGGAAGTGTCAGATGCTATTGGTTTTAGTGGGGGAATTTGGGTGATGTGGAAGAAGGACCAGATGAAGTTGGAACTCATTGAGTGTCATAGACAGTTCATCAACCTGAAGTGTTTAATGGGTGACAAAGGTGCCTGTCAGCTGACAGCCATCTATGCTAGCCCGAATGAACATAGAAGGGGGGGACCTATGGGATTCTATTAGTCGAATTGGTAGGACTACTGCTATTCCTTGGATACTGATAGGAGACCTGAACTCCATATCCAAATCCTCGGAGAAGCAAGGAGGAGCACCTTTCAACAATGCTAGAGTCAGAGCTCTTAATAACTGTTTGGAGAAAAATGAACTCTTTGACTTGGGGTTCATAGGACCAAAATTCACCTGGTTCACCAAAAAAAAAGAATTAAGGAGCATCTGGATCGGTGCCTTTGCAACGCTGAGTGGCTGAGGGTCTACCCGAAGTCGACGAACCTCCATTTGGCGAAGCTTCGTTCTGACCACAGGCCTATCCTGCTTAGCAGCGATGCTCCAGCTGATAAGAGCAATCTGGTGAGAAGATTTCAGTTCTTAGCTCCATGGCTTGCACATGATAACTTCTTTCCCTTTCTGAATAAATCCTGGAGCTCGGATAATACATTCCCTTTGGCTTTGAAGGACCTCTCGGTTAAATTGAAAGCTTGGAATAGAGAAGTTTTTGGCAACATCTTTAAAAGAAAGAGAAGCCTGTGGACTAGATTACAGAAGCTGGAGGAGAAGAATGACAAATCCCCCAGCTTTCAGTCGAAATTGCAGGAGAGCCAAGTGAGAGAAGAACTGGAAGAGACCCTCTGGCAGGAGGAAATATTGTGGCTCCAGAAGTCCAGAGCAAACTGGATTGTACATGGGGATCAAAATACCAGGTTCTTCCACCAGAGTACGATGAGTAGAAGAAGAAGGAATAGGATTTCTGGACTTAGAGATGGAGAAGGAAACTGGATTACTGACCCTGAGACCCTGCAAACCATGGCAAGAGAGTACTTTGTGGGACTCTACTCGAAGGAAAACAATGGCCACCAGCAGGAAATCCCAGCTGACTTCCCCACTATTGATGAACAAGCCAGAAGAAGACTTAGCAGGCCACCAAGCATGGAGGAAATCAAAGCAACAGTTATGGATATGAATGGCCTCAAAGCGCCAAGAAAAGATGGATTCCAAGCAATCTTCTTCTAGAAATGCTGGGAACAAATTGGGGGAGATTTCTCATCCTTTATCTCTTCATGTTTCTCTAATCCTCTTAATATCATATCGATTAACCAAACCCTTCTTGCATTGATTCCTAAGACTGAAGCTCCTTTGTCTATGAATGAGTTTAGGCCTATTAGTCTTTGCAATGTGGGCTGCCAAGTGTATTGCTAATAAACTTAGGGACCTGATGCCTTCACTTGTCCATCAAAACCAGTCCAGTTTTGTCCCTAATAGACATATCACTGACAACATTATAATTTTGCAGGAGACTGTTCATTCCATGGCTAAGAAGAATGGAAAGAAGGGTGTTATGCTTCTGAAGGTGGATTTGGCAAAAGCATATGATAGGATTGATTGGGGATTCCTGGAGAACACCCTTAAAGCTGCTGGAATTCCTGACATCTGCCTGAGTATGATCATGGAATGTGTCACCTCAATGGAAATGCAGGTTCTGTGGAATGGAGGAGAAACAGCAAGCTTCAAACCGACCAGAGGGCTTCGCCAGGGATGTCCCCTCTCACCCTACCTCTTTACATTATGCATCGAGAGATTAAGTCACTGCATTATGAATGAGGTTAAGAGTAAATGTTGGAAACCTGTTAAAATTGCCCCCCACTGCCCTGAACTTTCCCACTTATTCTTTGCTGATGACTTGGTTCTTTTTGCCGAGGCTTCTTGCAAACAAGCTGATATTATTATGAGATGTGTTGATTCCTTCTGCCATGCCTCAGGGGAGTTGATTAGTAAGAACAAGTCTAGGGTCTTCTTTTCTAAGAACACTAGAACCTGTGATAGGCAAAATATATGTGCTAGACTTGGAATTCAATCAACTCCTGACCTTGGAAGGTACCTTGGGGTACCTGTCTTACATGGCAGGTTGTCCAAGGTTACTTTTCGTTATATTTTGGAGAATATGGATAGGAGGCTTTCTTTATGGAAAGCTAGAACCCTTTCATTAGCCGGAAGGGTTACCCTTGCTATGAGTGTGCTCAACGCTATACCTTCCTATGCAATGCAAACTTCGTTCCTGCCCCTATCAATCTGTGATGCCATTGACCAAAAAATCAGAAGCTTTGTCTGGGGTTCGAGTGAGGGAAAGAGGAAAGTACACCTGATCTCTTGGGACAAGGTGTGCAAACCTAAGAATCAGGGGGGACTTGGTCTTAGATCAGCTAGGAATATGAACTTAGCTTATATGGTGAAACTGGCTTGGAATCTGTTCAATAACGAGGAGGACTTATGGGTTAAAGTTTTACAGGGAAAGTACTTCCACCATAAAGATGGCAGAATCCACAAGATGAAGAAGAGTAATCACTCGAGTCTGTGGAAGGGAATTGTTAAAGCGATGCCTTTCATGAAGCAAGCAACCCTCTGGAGTCCTAGAGATGGAGAGACCACTGGGTTCTGGACCCAACCTTGGGTGGCTAATGGGCTGATCCTACAGGACTTTGCTTCCAGTGAGCTATCTGAGGAGGAGCAGAACGCATCAGTTGCTAGTTGGGTGGATGACTCAGGTGAGTGGGACTGGGAAAGGTTGAGAAGGTATCTCCCTGACAGTTTGATCAATCTTATTGCAGGCATTGAAGCACCAAGAGCTGGAAGTGGTGAGGACAAAACTGTATGGGGGATCGAGAAGGACGGGAGATTCAGACTTAAATCAGCTTATTCAATGGTGGCTGGGGAACTGGAAAGCTCACCTGTGCAACTCTGGAAGGACCTCTGGTCGTGGAAAGGGCCGAGTCGAATTAAACATTTCTTATGGCTTGCTAGCCATGAGAGATTGATGACTAACACAGAAAGAGAAAGAAGGAAGATGACAGAGAACAAGGCGTGCAACCACTGCACCACATCAGAAGAAACCACAGAACACATACTGAGAGGCTGCTCGAAAGCCTCGAGCATTTGGAGGCACTTTCATGACAAACTTGTGGAGAATGACAACACGATGGACTTCAGGAATTGGCTGAACAGAAATCTGAAGGAACAGGGCAGAGGTATTGATTTTGGGATTGTCTGCTGGAGCCTCTGGAAACAGAGGAACGAAGAAGTGATGGATGGCAAAACCTTCTCTGAAGCTGGCCTGATCTCTAGAATCAATGCTTGGATCAATATCAACAAGCAAGCTACTTCCAATGTTCAGAAAAGCCTACTGCCAATGAAACAAAGCAAATCTGCCCGGGAGATTGCTTGGAAACCCCCACGTGAAGGCTGGATTCAGGTTCAGACAGATGGATCTGTTATCCAGCCATCAGGTCGTGCTGCTGCAGGTGGACTTCTTCGAGATCACCTTGGCAGATGTCTAGGGGCGTTTTCTTCCAATCTTGGGGCTTGCTCAATCACCAGAGCCGAATTGAGGGCAGCAGTGGAAGGCCTGGAAATGGCTTGGAAGCTCGGCCACAGAAGAGTTGAGCTTAATCTTGACTCAACCACTGCTCTCAACATCATCAAAAACAGGGATCAGACTGATCACTGCCATGGAGCTATTGCTGATTATTTTGGGGAGTTACTTAGTAGGGAATGGAATGTTGAAATGAAACATATATTCCGTGAATGTAATTTTGCAGCTGATTTCCTTGCGAACAAGGGTCACTCCCTCTCTTTTGGCTCACATCTCTTCAATGTGAGCGACCCGAACCTTTGTTATTGGTTATTTTACGACAACATGGGTATTTCCCGTTGTCGTGAGGTTAATGAGATGATCTAGGGTGCTGTTGCACCTGTTTTCTACCAAAAAAAAAAAGTGAGAGCTCTCCGGTTGCTTCATGGGGTTACTAGCTACGTAAAAATGGAAACGTCTTAATCAGTGCAAGTAATTTTCATGGTCGTGGTCATGGGTATTGACTATTGGGCTTTAAAGTGCAGCATTGAGAGGAGATGGCGGCTGGCGCCATAATTGGATTTGGAGGAGCATTTTAGTTTGGACAGTCTCCGTGGCTGCTAATATAATAAGAGCCCCGTCTCAATCTCTTTTACAAGATTTCCACTCTAATTTGAGTGCTCAATTCTTGACTAATGATAATTTACCCCCTCTTCCACCCCCACTTATGATTAGAGGGGCTTGGGAGTTACCACCATAATTTCTAAACCTGTTTGTAAACAATAAAGTTCAGGTACTAAATTGTAAAATAAGTAAATTTGGATACTAAAAGACCAGACAAGATAAAAAAAAACAAAGGCGAGGCGGTCCAGTTATAAAATTCTATATAGACGAATCAGACATGATTCTTACAAGACCATGACGCGAGTCTGGTCGAGTTTCAACCGTCGTTTTCATGTGGAATGTCCTGTCTATGTTTAGCCCGAACCACATTGGAGCCAGTGCAATGAATCAATTCTTATTAGCTCGTGACAATCAACATTCCGACAATATACCTAATGACCTATAACCCTTTTAACGTTACCGAATATGTTAAAACAGTTAATAAAATACAACTAACGTCTTCTAGATGCTCTTTTTTTTTATCATTATGAATTGAGCTAAATTGTTCTTATATATTCAACTTGTAGCGTTGAACGACCATTCGTTATACACCATGAATCGGGTGAATAAGTAATGAGTAATTACAATTCGTCAAACCATTTTCATTCAACTTTCACCTGTTCTTTTATATTTAATTTCGGTTCCAGTTTCATCCCTTACAGATCGTGTAGAAATTACCTATCCACATCACATGGAATCGAAATCACACTAAAGAACCTATGGTGAACATATATACATTTCCCAACTAGTTTGTTTGCGTACACATCATGATCAATAGCTCACACACGCACACAATTAGGTTTGTGTCGAACGTATTCCCTATAACCTAAAACTAACAGCACCTAAAATCCTTGCCTAATCGGTCTATTTTTTATATCAATTTTCAGTTCTTTGCAAGAGTTGGGTCGCATAAATTCGTCACAGTTATCAACGGCAAAATAAAAGTGAGATCATCATCCTATCCAAATCCAACTGCTGATCCTATTCATAATTTGTCAAAAGAAAGAACCCACCACACCACAAGTTGGTACGGTACCCCTTATCTGTTTATCACTTTATCTTCAATCTCCCTTTTTTCCCCTCCTAGTTGTTCGTTGCATCCCAGAGGAAATCAAAGCTAAAGCAAATTTGTATTCTTTTCAGCATACAGAGAAGATAATAATCCATCGTCTTGTTTACGTGAAGGATTAAAAAAAGTAAAAAAAAAAAAATTGAAAGGGAGATTGGAGATAAATATTTGAGACCTACAAGATGAAAGAAATGGAGTAGAAATTGGAGCTTAATTTCATACTCCGATGGTCGACGAAGATACCACCACTCATATTTACAATGCATCACCGTGAAATTTTGTTAAAAGATCATTTTTACAATGGATCAGAGTATATAAATTGAACTTACTTAAGTTGTGCTAAGCCGATCAACTCATTTAATAAGTCATTGTCTTGCTTGCGTGAAGGATTAAAAAAAAAAGACAGTCCAAAAAGAGTGATTGAGTTGGAGTCAAGCACCTTCATCCCGAATTTGAGATCAATAGAACAATTATTGTGAAACCGTACTGGAAGTTATACTGGAAAATTTATTAGTAGGATATTTTGTAGTAAAACAACATTTCTATTATGTAAATATTGATATATGGATGACCAATGACCTACCACATTAGATGCTCACTTGGGAGTTACATGTAACCCCTATTTCTACATTATTATCTCTCATTCATATGCATTGATATAAGGATGTAGTGGTTACCAAAGTGTGCCTATAAATATAGCACACCTTTGTATCAAAAGTGAAGAATGAATAAGAAGAACTCTTCCCCTCTCTTCTCTTGTGTCTTTTCCTCTCTAATCTTCTCTTGTAGTTGTTTATATTACATTAGTTTCATAACACGTTATCAGCACGAAGCTCTGCCAAAATTATCATTGCTCAAGCCTCAAAGACTCTCGACATAGTCTAAGATATTGGAGTAAGATCACAATATGATCAAGGTATGTAAATCTTAGATTCTTTCTTATCGTATTGTCTTATTTGTGTTGAGATTATCTCATTACAATATATCAAGATGGGTGCTACTTCTCATATCTATTGATATTTTATCACGTCGATCTCTTTGGATTAATAAGTAAAGTAATATAAGTGATGAGTTAATTTCTCAGTTCTCCGTGTTGTATTATACTTATCAATCATACATTGATATGTAGAAAATGCAAGTTCCAAGAGCCCATATATTCCCCAGAAGTGGAAATTGAAGAATCCAAGGGCAAAGAAAGAAGTGGACATGGTAACAAGATGATTGGTTTTGTATGTTACCAATGTAATGGAAAATTGCATTTGTCTCGTACCCGTTGTACGCAAAAGACCTTATTCTACCAAAAATCAAAGGGAAAAGCTAATTCATATACGCTCCTGCAATATCAATATTATGGAACATATTATTTGTATTATAAGTTGGTATATTCTCCATTAAAGATGAAATGATATTGCACTTGAGACATTTTCATTCCCAGAAGTGAATGAAACAATCTATTCCCCGAAGTGAATGAAACTATAAACATAATTATATATATGGTAAATGTATTGTTTGGATCTTTTCACCAGAAGTGATAAAAGAGGAGAAAAAGGATAATTATAAATAAGTATGACACAACAATTATATTATCAAAGTCATGATAACATAATGTACCTATTGTACATTGAAATGTAAACGAAAGACATATATAAATTTAAAATCACCTAGTTAGTGATGATATTGTTCCAAATAAAGCTTATTTAAATTTTCACAATTGTAGTATTATGATTCTTGTTTTCTATTATGTTTCATTGTGTCATTATTTTCATGCATAATTTAACTTGATAACTTTTATCTAGAATGATTAACGTGATAAGTTCGTCATTTTTGTCTTAAGTTTGAATATTCTCATTTATTATTTTAGTGTGTTTTTGTAAAGTATGATTGTTAGAAAAATTCCATATTAACTATATCGTAGAGTACATAAATGAGAAAAAGCTTCCGAAAAGCTTATGTTTGGTTACTTGAAGTAACTAAATTATGTACACGTGATAATAATTTGTGATGATATTCACTATGAATATGTGTTTACTAAGAATGCATCAAATCATAAGTCTATGGAAGGGCGAAATATGGTACAAAATATGGTAAAGCTCTAAAAGAGCTAATGTTTTGTGGCCTGAAGGACCCAAACTACCCAGTGATGATGCATTACCCAATTAAAAGGATATTCGTAAAATGAATATCTTATCAAGAAAAGTGTGAAACTAATATTTGCATCACAATTATGTACTTCATGTATATTAGTACAATCCGTACACATAAAAGTGTAAACCAGAAGTTTACAAGATTTGATAACTTGATAATTGGTTGGTCCGGTTAGACCATCCCGGATTTTGATGTGGAAAAAATTATTTGAGAATTCATGAGAACATCATATGAGAATTCAAAGAATTCTTCAAGAGTTATTATGTCATGCTTGTTCTCAAGAAATATAGAACAATTGATCATCGCTTGTAAAAGGGTTGGCAAATCTCTTGAGATTTTATGGATGTGTATGCAGAACAATACATCACTCATGTGGATCATTTATGAATTTTATGGGTTCCTGCATCAAATGGATGATCACATGTATTTTATCTAATCGCAACCCGATGTTTGCGAGATTGGTTGCCTCACTATGGATACATTTTGATGGTTATCCAATCAAACATCACTTTGATTAATAGAACAAGCTGAGCCTTCCAGTCTCTTGTCAAGGACATGCTAGCTGACAAGTGATAGTATTGGTTCACATCTAACCAACAAGTTATCATAAGTTTTTCCCTTTTTACAAATGGTTTTGGTCAGAAACTTAACATTTCTCATATGAGAATATAAGGGTGTGTTGCATACATCCCAATTGCTCCACCACAGTATTTTAAGTTGATTCTCATTAGAGATTGAGAATTTGTGTTGAGGTTTGAATCCCAAATGGGAAATTTGTTTGCGAAATTATTGTTTTGATGGATTACTTTTCCAACATTAAGGGGGGAGGGAAAAAAAACAGCTGGACAAAGAGATGAGTTGGAATGAGTTATCATTATTTAGTTTTGATCCTCAAAGTAAGAAACATGACCTGGAGTTCATAAGATGAATTATCGTTACCAACTATCAAATGCATTTACTGGCCATACGAAGTGACCAAGTCACATATACTAGCTGTGAATGCTCCAACTAAATTTGATATCCTTGTTGGATACTCTAATATAAAAAAAATGTGTATGAAAGAGCGCATGAAGCGTGATAGATTAATCGGTTCCAATGATAAACATCCTCGAGAAAGAAAAAGAGCTGTAATTAGAATGGTCAACTCGAGGACATGAAAACTCAAGAAGAGTAACCAAGAATTAAGTATAATTTTAGTTCCAGAAGAACACATGTCTCTGAAAGTTGTGAAAGGGAAGAGATCTCAAAAATATATTAGACTACAATACTGGAACCGAAATGAAGTCATTGTCGATGAAATTTGGTTGTTGTACTTCAGTACTGAATATGATATGTACAAGTGAGGATCAAGAGTAAAACTCTATTGATGCTAGGGATGGCAACTTTGCCCATACCCATGGGTTTCTTACTATCCAACCCAATTGGGTTGGGTATGAAATCCAAATAGATGGATATGGGTAGAGTTTGATGGGTTTGTACCCATACCCATTTACTTTGGGTTGAGTTGGGTTTATATCAAATGGATTTGGGTTTGTACCCATGCCCAAATACAAATTACAGTTTGGTACCCAAACTTAATAGATATGCATATTTAGTACCTAAATTTAATTTTTTTGCATATAAGTCCTCAAAATATTGATGGAAAATTACGTTTTGGTACCTAAATTTTTTTGGTCTTACATTTTGGTACCTAAACTTTTCAAGTTTTGCAAACAGGTCCAATTTTTGCATGTGTAGTTAAAACACCCTCAAGTAAATGGATATCCATATCCACCCCATACCCATTTAGATTATGGAAGCCCCAAACCCAAACCCATCTATAAACCCCAAATCCATATGCACTTCACCCATACCCAACCCATTATCAATGGGTCTACTTGGGTTTGGGTATAATTACCCATGGGTGGGTAATTTGCCATCCCTA